CTACTAACAGCATCTTGTTAAAATGGCATGAAGTAACAAAGGTGTTACCTCCAGTGCAGTGCATTTAATGATGGTCAAACATTGTTTGTTGCAGATCTCCTACATTCTGTTCCTTTGTCTGTACTCCGTGGTCATTCTCACCGAGTTTGAACAAAACGAGTTTGGACAAAACGTCTTGTCGCCTATCGACTATGTCCTGGCAATTTGGATCTTTACTCTCATCTGTGAGGAGATCCGACAGGTATGTTTCTTTGTTTGTTTGTCACTATGGTCGGTGATTGTAAAGCCAGCTACTCGTGTGTGGGGAAGCCTCAGACTTTAGCCAGACGCATCACAATCATGTCAAAGAACCCAACACACTTATCAACAAGAGTAAGGGTTACAACAACTTAACATTAGAACAAATACAAAATCTTACTGAGACTGCTAAGAAAGCTTTAAATCTGGATGTGCAACATAAAAAATTGTACATTGCCTAAGAATAATAAGTAAGATGCACTCACTTCAGAATCTATGCTTTGGAAAAACGATTGATTGTTTAATCGGTTAATTGTAATTTTAGCTCATCACTACAGAGGCAAGATCGGTGTCTGGAAAGTTATTGGAATACATCGGCAACTACTGGAACCTGTTTGATTTGGCCAACATTGTCACTTTCATCGTAGCATTTGGTAAGTCTGGCTTTATCACGTACAAGAAACCATGGTTTTGAGAAGCACACCTGATTCATGATCAGCAGAACGTACTGCACCTGCACGAAACCCTGATTTTTTGTTTGTATTTGGTTGATGCTGAATCAAAATTTTTCCCGTTGCAGATGATCTTTTACAACACAACATTTTGAAAGCTAGGCTAGGCTCTGCAGGTTTTTGCAGGGTCGGTCAGAAAACAGAAAACACAACATTTTTTTCCTTGGCCTTACATTCTTACATCTTGTTTCTGCAGTGTTGCGGTTCTTCTCTGAGACGTTTATCGTAGCACGGGTCCTGTACAGCCTGAACCTGATGATCTTCTCCTTCCGACTCTTACACATCTTCTACATCAACAAGGAGATGGGACCCAAACTCATCATGATTGCCAGAATGGTAGGTTTTTGTATCATTTTATTTTACACAGGATAAAACACTGTACAAATCAAATCAAAGTCCGATTTCAGGAAAAGTATAACAGTTGTGTTTGAGACCAACCAGATCTATACTAAGTCTTCCCTTGCCTGGTTTGATATTTTGGAAAATGATTGTTATTGTATTGTGTCGGAATACATTATGTAGCAAGTGGCAGGTCACCGTACAGTGTATGTGTGCATTTTGTGTTAAACTTTTTACTATAATGCTTCATAAGAAAACAACTACTCAAGCAACTGGATAGATTTTGAAAACTGTCAGAGGAGCATCCACTACTTTTCACCAGTGACTACATTTGTAACACTGAAGAATGTCACTGACAAAAAGTAGTGGATTTTAAAAAAACTCGGTTGAGTACCTGCTTCCTTGTGAATGTCATTATCTGGATGTCTAAGCTTATTTTCATATAGCCAGGCGACATCAACCAATGAGAACCCTCCATTTCCTATCAGCTATAGGGGTGTAACATCGTAAGTGGTGAATAATGAAACAAGTGCTTCTGCAAAAGCTGTCGTTTGCCGCCTTGGTTTTTTTGGCACAAGAACATCACATGCAACAAATGTGTTTCGTCTTTGAATTAAGTGATGATAAGACCATTGATTGAAATCTAGCTATGTTATACTATATACACATGTACATAGTTTAGGAAAAGATAACCAGAATTGATGCTCATTAGAAGCTAATGCAGTCACCATCTTTACGTGGGGAAATTAAATTCTTTACTACATCAAATCTGCAATACAAAAAAAAATCTTGTGATGTAAAGAGCAATTTATTTCAATTGTGCTGTTTTTTTAAATATTGGTAGCTTGTCAAATAGATCATTGGTATAGAGTGCAAAAGCACAGTGCACGGCGGCACAGATTGGTATAGAGTGCAAAAGCACAGTGCACGGTGGCAGAGCTGAGTGTGAATGCTGCATTGCGTGAACTGCTTGGTGACATAGATGGCCAAAGTCCCAAGACTCTGAAAGAGAAGAAAAATTTTTTGTGTCAGCATAACATCCACAACTGAGCATATGCATATTGAATCCTTGCTTAAACATGTCAAAGCTAACCCTGGGCACCAGACTAATATAGCAGCCAACTCGCCTTGGGCTCAACTTGTAGTTGTAGTGGCCAGTGGTAAATTAGATAGGCAGGTGTAATGCCTATAGCTACTAGAAGGAACTGGCTAATGGCCCAATACCTAGCCTAGCCTTCAGGGTAGTTAACTTAAGGCTTGAAAATTTTATTGTTGATAAACTTGAGGCAAGCAATTATGGAAAAGTGTAGAGAAGCTTGGACAAAACCTTCTCATTCTTTTCTAATCACCACTCACCTTATAAATATGTCCCTTATCAAAATACCATCAAATGAACAAACACACCCTAAACAACTTCTAAACAAACAAAATTATCAACCAGCACTAAAATTTTGATTGGTTTCTATCTCTTTGTCTGTCTAAAAAATCGATGATGTGATTGTATCAATTTTAAACACCGAAAAATTAGGTAAATCGGCGACATATGCGGATTGCCCTATGACCTTCGACCTTTTAAGTCATGCAGCTGCCCTCCCCCACGCCTCGACCGCCCGTGTTGTTTGCAAATTTCTGCTTTTTAAAGAGATTTTGGGACATAGAAACTCAAATAAAGGGAAAATAAACCACATACGTTATTTCCATGGTAAACATTGCTAGAAAAGACAGGATATAATTTTTTTCCGCCGCGTTGCCGAATTTTGCGGTCACTACATGCTTAATTATGGCGTGGTACGCTAGGGAATGGCTACGGTTTGTTCGTAAAAATTTATGTATTGGCACATTTTCTGAGGCAAAGAGCGAGAAAACTGCACCTCCAGATTTTTAAAACTTGATTTCATGTAGGATTTCGTTCCTAAGAAGACATTGGCGAGATTGACATTTGTGTAACAAAGCAAGCTGTTTCCACGCCACCAACGAAGGGAGGGGGGACAGCGATTGCATATATACTCATAAATTTCTCAATCTGATTGAGTGTGTGCCAGTGAAAGCACAATTATTATTGATTGCCCTTTCTCATATCATCTTAAACTATACTGTTTTACTCTGAATCTATGCCTAATACTCTTACAGTTGTTGATACAAGTACAAGATAGTAAGGATACAAACGATATAAACACATTTTTAAGCTTACCTTTACATCCGGGACCTTGCAGTTTGACACAGCGACATCTTGCGACATGTGATGAAATAGCACCATATTCACAACAATGCCATCTAGCGACAATTTAGTAAAATGGCAAATCC